TTTTAAAGAAGAATTAACACAAATTTGACATAATTTCATCTAGAAAACAGAAAAAGAAATAAAACTTCCCAGTTAACTTTAAGCACCTGGGTATTACCCTGCCACCAAACTAGATGAAGACAGCATGAAGAGAGACAACTACAGACCAATATCCCTCATGAAGAGGTGCAAAGCCTCTCCTAAAATATCAGCAAATAGAATTCTATGATAAGAAATTCTATTTGTGATACACCTTGAACAAGGATTCCAGGAATGCATTCAGTGTAATCAACCATATTAACAGGGTAAAAAGAAAAATCACATAATTATATCAACTGATATAGAAAAAGCTTTTGACAGAATTCAATATCCATTCATAATAAAATTTCTTTGAAAAATAGAAATAGAGGGAAATATCTTAATATAATTAAAAGCATCTACAAAACACCAAAGTTTACATTATACTTAATGGTGAAAAACGAAATCTTTTCTCCCTAAGATCAGGAAAAAGAGGAAGCTGTCACTTCCATCACTCCCATTTCATCATCAGAAGATGACTGAAAGTTCTAGCCAGTACAATGAGGCAAGAAAGAAATACAAAATACATACAGGGAAAGGAAAGACTTAATACAAGCAGGAAAAGAAAAAATAAAACAATCCATATTTGCAGATGAGATTGCTATATACATACAAATTCTCAAACAATCTGCAAAAAAAAAAAAACCTCCTCACACTAATAAATGAGTGCAGCAAGGACAGAGGATACAAGATCAACATACAAAAGTCAATTACATTTCTCTCTCTCTCTCTCTGTCTCTCTCTCTCTCTGTCTCTCTCTCTCTCTCTCTCTCTCTCTCTCTATATATATATATATATATATATATATATATATATATATTAGCTGTGAATGACTGAAAACCAAAATTAAATGAAAAATGTAAATATGTAGTTGTAAATCTAACAAAACATGTATAAGGTTTACACACTGAAAACTACAAAATGCTGATGAACTAACTCAAAGAAGATCTAAATAATAAAGAAGCATATTGTGCTCATGCATTAGAAGATTCAACATAGTAAAAATGTCAATTCTCCCCAAATTGATATACAGGTTTAATGCAATTCCTATCAAAATCCTAGTAAGATTTTTTCTGTGGGCACAGACAAGATTATTCTAAAATTTACATAGAAAGGCAAAAGAACTAAAATGACTCAAACAAGTATGAAGAAAGATAATGAAGAGTGAAGAATCAGTCTACCCAACTTGAAAACTTATTATATAGCCAAAGTAATCAAGACTGTATTGTCAGAATAGAAACATAGATGAGTAGAACAGAATAATTAAAAATAACACAGAAATCAATCTGCACAAATATATCCAACCGATTTTTTTTTTAAGATGTATTCTTGCTCTGTCTCCCAGGCTGCAGTGCAGTGGCATGACCTCTGCTCAGTGCAACCTTTGCCTCCCGAGTTCAAGTGACTCTGCTGCCTCAGCCAACTGATTTTTGAAAAAGGTTGAAAGCAATTCTTTACAGAGAGTGTAGCTGTTTCAACAAATGATGCTGAAACAATTGACTTTCATAAGCAAAAGAAAAGAAAAAAAAAAACCCTTGACCTAAACCTCACATCGTACTAATATAGAAATTAACTATTTGAAACAGGCTTAAATGTGAAATATAAAACCATAAAAGCTTTAGGGGAAAAAAGCATATGAGAAAATCTTTAGGATCTATGATGTGGGAAAGGGTTTCTAGACTTGAAACAAAATGTATGAGCCATAAAAGGAAAAAATAAAATGGACCTTATCAAAGTTAAAATTTTTTTGCCCTTTGCAAACTCCTGCTTATAAGAGGATAAAAACACTAGCTACAAATCTGGAGAGAGTATTCACAAACAACATAGCTGACAGGACTTATATTTAAAATACATACAGAACTATGAAAACTTAACAGTAAAAAAAAAAAAAATCCACCCCAATCCAATTAGAAAATAAGCAAACACATGAAGAAAGTTATCACCAAAGAAGGTCTACACACAGCAGAGAAGCACGTGAAGAGATGTTCAACATCTTTGGCCACCTGGGAAATACGAATTAAAGCCACAATAAAATACCATTTCACACCTGTCAGAATGGCTAGAATAAAAAATAGTGAAACCGTAAATGCTGGAGAGGATCTGGAAACACTGCACATGCTGCCAGTATTTAGGTGTGGATGTGAAGTGGCACAGCCATTCCAGAAAAAAAGTGTGGCTGTTCATTAACAGATCAGACATGGAACTATTATTCAACCCAGTAACTGCACTCCTGGGCATTTATTCCAAACAAATGAAAACTTATGTTCACACAAAAGCTTGTACATGAATGTTTCTAAAGCTCTGTTTGTAACAGTCAAGAACTGAAGTTAGCCCCGATTTAAACCAACTGTGGTACATCCATATCACAGAACACTGCTGAGCAATAAAAAGAAACATACTATTGACACATGAAAGATCTGGATGAATCTCCAGAGAATTATGCTGAATGAAAAAAGTCAATCCACAAAGGTTACCCACCACACTGAATGATTCCATTCATATAATATTATTGAAATGACATTATAAAACCAGAGGACAGACTAGTTCTTAACTGCTTGGGGTTAAGAGGTAGTGGGTGGGGAGTGAGCAGGAGGGAGTAGCGGTGTCCACAAGGAATCCTTGCAATGATGGAAATGTTCTGTATCTTGACTATATCACTGTCAATATTCTGATTGCGATTTGCAAGATGTTGCTATTGGAGGAAACTGGGTAAAAAGCACATGGGATCTCTCTGTATTTTTTTCTTACAACTGAAGGTGAATCTGCAATGATCTGAAAACAAAGAGGCTAATTTATAAAAATAATAAATACATAAATAGAATCAAAACAGACACGACCTTCCCAGTGTGTGAATCAATATTATTTACTGCAGTGTATCTAGACCCGTGACTCTAGCCATGAGAACCACAGCTTACCCTTGAAGAAACACTGACTCTGCACAGACCATTTTTCTTTCATTTTCTTTATATCAACTCACTTTTCCTTATGAACCCTTATATATTCAAAGGGAAATTGACAACACTACCATTTACCATATATGGAAAAGCTCCAACATTGCTGTGAATACCAAGTGTCATAATGAAACTACAAGGGGCCAGGCTCCGTGGCTCATGCCTGTAATTTCAGCACTTTGTGAGGCCAAGGCAAGTAGATCATCTGAGGTCAGGAGTTTGAGACCAGCCTGACCAACATAGTAAAACCCTGTCTCTACTAAAAATACAAACAAATTAGCCAGGCGTGGTGGCGGGTGCCTATTATCCCAGCTACTCAGGAGACTTAGGCAGGAGGAGAAACACTTTAACCCAGGAGGCAGAGGTTGCAGTGGGCTGAGATCATGCCACACTGCACTCCAACCTGGGTGACAGATCAAGTCTAAATCTCCAAAAAAAAAAAAAGAAAAAGAAAAAAGAAACTACAAGGAAAGCAATGAAAACATGCAAAGACCTCTCACTTGGTGACAAGCCAGTGCTGAGAACAAGCTTCCTACCTATGTACCAAAGCAGCTCTGCAGAAATTCCTGAATGTGATCTTTTAGCATAACTCAGTCTTCCCTGACATGCCACACCCAGATAGGCAGCATGGTGGGTAAAGTTCCCAGACCTTGGACAGAAGACCTGTCTTTGAACCTTTCTCTACTACCTACAAACCCTGTGACCTGGAATAAGTCACTTAAACTCTCCATGTTGTGTTTTCTTATCTGAAAAGTGGGGCTCCTGTTCATTTGTTCAAAAGATTAGATAAAACCGTAGATGTGATTTATCTAGACATGGTAGATTCTCCCTGTGTCTATTACCGCCCTACCCCCTTAACCAAACAGCCTACCCTACCTCCCTTTTACAATCTTGGTTCTCTGCATACATGATGTTCATGGTCTTTACCAGAAGAAAGGTCTCTCTAGCTGGTAACTCCATGGCCACTGATGGTGAGCCCATCTGCCCTAGGCAGGCCTTTTGGGTAATCCTGTTCATATGGCACTCCTTCTTCATGACCACGCCCTCCCCAGCTTCCCAGCAGAAGCACAGCTAAGGAAGCAAATCTCACAGGCCCTAACAGTGCCACAGAACCTAAGCATTCTCTCTGATTAATATTAGCCTGTGGTCCTAAATACTTGCTCTTAGCTGGGGCAATAAACAGAGGGTGGTTAAAAGGCATATTATTTTAAACTGGCCCTGACATTGACTCTGTTTTTCCCAGTCAGCTAATGTTATCATTTTTCTAAGTTGTATCCTTTCCTTCATTGCATTTTGGTAGATAACATCTCTGGTTTCATTCTTACAGAAAGATTTGCTACGAGAAAGGAGAAACACGTTACCTCTCAGAGCATAGCTTCCATGGCTGATCTGAGATAGCCTCCAGCTCTTTGCTATTTTGGACACTGGGAAGCCAGATACGTGTATAAATACATGGTCTATTGGCCCTTATAAATCTTATTGAAAAATATTACCCTTGGATGGTTGATTAGTAGAACTGCTATAAATAGTAGCTCTATCAAATACCTTTATATTTCAATTATATTATATTACAAAAACTTGGGCTAATAAAACATATATATATACACACATATGCACACATGTGTGCATGTGGGCACACACACACACTCTTGGCCAATTCACATTTTTGGTTTAATAGGTCCATCATTGGAGGAAAGAAAACCCAGCTTATAAAGCAATAAATTTTCTCATAAATGTTTTTTTATTTAGTAGAATGTGGATTGTGGACCTGGTTTCTGACAGCCATTATGAATTGCAGTAAATATTTTGACAAAAGCAGCAGTGGTATTAAGCACACAAGAGAATTACTTGAGCTGGGTCAGACACAGTTTTACGTAGCATTTTCATTTTAACTGTGTGCTTGAAGATAAATATATCATTAAGAACACAGTAAAATAGTTTTTTTTTAACTGACATTTTATATATGCTTATGGCATAGAGCATGTTACATACCTTTATGAAGAGTGAAGTATTTTCAGCCAATGATGCTCTGATTCAAACACAATGATCTGGTTGCCCAGAAAAGACACCCACAGTTCCAGAAAGGACCACCTGGCTGGTCCCACAGAGGGGTGATGAGCTCAAAGGCCCCTGCTCACACTCTCTGTAGGGAGCTCACTACTCTTTGCTGAGAGGGCATTTTAGTGTTCTCTCCAAGTTCCTACTCTGCAGGCAGCATCTCAGAGAACAGAGAGATGCTCCCTGAGCCTTAGAAAATAGAATAAAAGGGGCAGCCTCCTGTGGCTTGGCCTTTATGTCAACTCCACGTTTAACTGAGAAAAGCACCATTTCAAGCAACCTGGAAGAGACTCATGCAGAGATGAAACTTGGTATGGCCCAGAAATAGGAAGTAAATTATTTCCTATACATTACTTAAGGTCACAGTAGAAACCCTTAGAAAACAGGAAGAGATAGAAGCAGAGAGAGAGAGAAAAAAAAGTGCCACAGCTCAGCTCTTTAGTAATTGTTACTATTGGTCTAACAACCTACAAACAGAGCCTGCTGCCCAGAAATGTAGGTGTACAAAAATACACTGCATTGGAGATGAGGTTGTTCTGTGCAGACAAGTAAGAATTAGAGCCTGGGTGTTTTTTTCCTGGAGATGTAGATGGAACAAGTGTTTGCAGAGCCTCCACACATAACCCCAGAGGTTCCTGAGGTCCCAGAATGAGCATTTCCCTGCAGCTGACTATGGTGGAAGGCCCCAGTGAAAGATCTCTGTGATGTTATCTTTATGTAAAAAGTTGATATTTTGTTCAATATGGATTTGTTTGAATTAATATTTTATTTTTAAGATATGACACTAATCACTCCATTAAACATAGTACTGGAAATCCTAGCCAGAGAAACCAGGCAAGAGAAAGAAATAAAAGGCATCCAAATAGGAAAAGAGGAAGTCAAGTTATCTCTTTTCACTGATGATATGATTCTATATCTACAAAACCCTAAAGACTCCACCAAAAGACTTCTAGACCCAATGAATGACTTCAGTAGTTTAAGGATATAAAAATCAATGTATAAAAATCAGTAGCATTTCTATATACCACTAACATTCAAGCTGAGAGCCAAATCAAGAACACAGTCCCATTTACAATAGACACACACACACACACACACACACACACACAACCTAGGAATACATCTAACCAAGGAGGTAAAAGATCTCTACAAGGAGAACTACAAAACACTACTTAAAGAAATCACACACCACACAAACAAATGGAAAACCTTTCCATCCTCATGGATTAGAAAACTCAATGTCATTAAAATGTCCATACTTCCCAAAGCAATTCAATGCTATTCCTACAAATTACCAATGTCATTTTTCACAAAATTAAAAAAAAAAAAACTATTCCAAAATTTGTATGGAACCAAAAAGGAGCCTGAATAGCCAAAGCAATTCTAAGCAAAAATAACAAAGCATCACATTACCTGACTTCAAACTATACTACAAGGCTACAATAACCAACACAGCATGGCATTGGTATAAAAATAGACACATAGACCAATGGAACAGAATAGAGAACCCAGAAATAAAACTGTACACCTACAACCAACTTATTTTCAACAAAGTCAACAAAAATAAACAGTGAAAGAAAGGACCCCTTAATCAATAAATGGTGCTGGGGAAACTGGCTAACCATATGGAGAAGAATGTTGAATAGAGTGATTGGTGCCATTCTAATTCCAGAATAAAACTGGACTTTTACCTCTCAATATATACAAAAATTAACCCAAAGAGAAATAAATACTGAAATTTAAGACCTGAAACTATAAAAAATCCTACAAGAAAACCAAAGAAATACTCTTCTGAATGTCAGCCTAGGCAAAGAATTTAAGACTAAGTCCTCAGAAGCAAATGCAACAAAAACAAATATTGACAACTGGTACCTAATGAAACCAAAGTGTTTCTATACAGCAAAGAAACTATCAACAGAATAAACAGACAACCCGTGCAATGAGAGAAAAGATTTGCAAACTATGCATCCAGCAAAGGTCTAACATCCACAATCTATAAGGAACTTAAACAAATCAACCCCATTAAAAAGTAGCCAAAGGGCATGAAAAGACACTTCTCAAAAGAAGACATACAAGCAGCCAACAAGCATATGAAAAAATGCTCATCATCTCTGATTATCAGAGAAATGCAAATCAAAACCACAAGGAGATACCATCTCACAATAGTCAGAATGGCTATGACTAAAAAATCAAAAAATAACAGATGATGGTGAGGTTGCAGGAAAAAAGAGGAACACTTATACACTGTTAGTAGGAATGTAAATTAGTTCAACCCCTATGGAAAACAGTTTGGATATTTCTTAAAGGACTAAAGATAGAACTACCAGTCAACCCAGCAATCTCATCACTGGGTATCTTCCCAAAGGAAGATAAATAATTCTCCCAAAAAGACACCTGCACTCCTGTGTTTATCACAGCACTGTTCACAACAGCAAAGGCGTGGAGTCAACCTGGTTTGACTGGTCCACCTGGGTGCCCATCAACGGTGGACTGGATGAAGAAAAAGTGACATACATACACCATGGAATACACAAAGCCATAAGCATGATAAAATTATGTATCCATGTAGCAATATGTAACCCCATGCCTATAATCCCAGCACTTTGAGAGGCCGGGGTGGGCAGAACATTTGAGGTTAGAAGTTCAAGACCAGCCTGGCCAACATAATGAAACCCCATCTCTACTAAGAACACAAAAAAATTAGCCAGACATGGTGGCACACACCTGTAGTCCTTTTCTCAGGAGGCTGAGGCAGGAGAATCACTTGAACCCAGGAGGCAGAGGTTGCAGTGATCCGAGATCATGCCACTGCACTCCAGCCTGGGCTGTAGAGTGAGACTTCCTCTCAAAAAAAAAAGAAAGTGAGAGTGATTGTAATGTATGGGGTTTCTTTGGGGGTGTTGAAAATGTTCTGGAATTAGATCACAGTGATGGTTGCACAACCTTGTGAATACACTAAAACCCACTGAATCTGACACTTTAAAAGGGTGCATTGCATGGTATGTGAGTTGTGTCAATATAGCAAATAAATCCATCACTCTCCTAATTTTTCTAAGCACCACAGTACAGATAGACCCTCTAGAGCACATAACCAATAACAAATTCATTAAGCACATGGCAACAGTCACCAAAGAAAATGAAAAATCGTTTCCAAAAATTGTTAACTTGCTTTCTCAGACACTTTTTTTCTGAAGGAAACAAACAAAAAGATATCTTACTCACTTGCCAAGAGCAAGCCTCCTTCAGAAAACAGCAGTCTGCATTGACTGTTCTTTCAAACAAAACTACCTCATGCAGCTAGAAGAAATAGCAGCAAAACCAGGAGGAGACATGAGATATCCTGTGTGTCTGAGGGAGACTCACAGGTGGAAAGAATAACTCTCTCATTGGCCATGCCCCGCTGGCCTCGCACTGTCAGATACACAGGCCTGTCCAGAAGCTGTGGTCAGGAGGAGCAAAGACAGCCCTCACCTTTGCAGTTCAGTCCCTGGGCCCTTCTCCAGACCTCATCTGTGCAGTCACATTGCAGGAAGCCCCAGTGAGAGGAGCTGGAGCAGACTCCAAGTAGAGCCACCTGGTGTGCCCAGGGCTAAGAGTGTAGCTGAGTCTCAGCAGGAAATTGGGGCTTGGGGAGCCGACACAGCCTCACAAGATAGCTGGGGATGAAGGAACACCTCTGGGGCCTCGGAGGAGTGTAATCAAGAGTGGCCATAAGACAAGTTTCCCTGGGCTCCTGCATGGCCCCTGGCCACACCCTTTCTTCCCCATATCATGACCCTCTTCTGGGGATTGAACTCATGGCCCCAAGAGTATGTGTCAAATAAATGCATGGGAATAGATGGATATTTCCGTGTGTCTAACACTGTTGTATGTAAAAAGGAACACAATTTGTGAAGACCCAAGTCCTCCCAAGGTCAGCCATGATGGGTGGCCCTCTCTCCTCTTCTGGAGGTTCCCCAGGGCTGGGCACCTGGCAACCTGTCTCTCATTCCTGTGGATCTGCCCATTCTCTGGCCTGTGGAGCTTGGTGTTGTGAGTGACTCTAGGAGTGTTTGTCTCTGCCTTGGCTGTGCCTGACCTCACAATGGAACACAGCATCCGGTACGGTGCCTGGCACAGAGCCAGCCCTCAGTCCGCACCTGCTAAATGACAGAGAACTATGACCCCCTGACTTCCCTGACCTTGCTGGAGAGACCACAGACTTACACACCAGGTGGAGCCTGATGCCAAAGGCTCCAAACCACAGTCTATATTCCAATGCAGGTGCTGTCACACCTCATCCTGTAGGGGAGGTGGTGGAACCCAGGGCTCTTCTCTGGGGCTCGGCAATGCCCTGTCTTGGGAAGGCACACGCTCTGCTTTCACCTGAAGTTGGTTCCCTCTTGGGGTCTGTTTCCCCTTAACATCCTCCCCACGCTCTCTCCATTGTCAGAAGAGGTTGATTATCACCAGCCCTTTGCGATGGAACAGGAAGCTGTACCTGGGAGGCCCCTCAGGAAGGAACACTCCACAGATGTGCGACATTGTGCTGAGGGCCGCTGCTCTCATCTCTGTGCCTATAGAAAAGTGCCTCCCCCTGAAGTGTCATTGGATGAACCCATGCAATTATCTGTCTGCACATCCTCAGGGCCATTTCCGTGATGTTTTTATTTAAAGCATGATGTATCCAGCCAGTTTCTGATTATCCATGGTAATGGGGGTCAAGGATCAGCTGAATAATTGCAATGGAAACTTTATTTCCGCTGAGAGTTCCTCTCCTCTCCACCTCCTCCCTCCCTTGCGCAGCATCCAAACAGGAAGAGGGGCGCTGTTGGGCCGTGGAAGGGGAACTGTGTTGCTGCTAGCCCTTATCGCAGCCCCGCCAGGACTTTGTTAGGGATTTGCTTGGTGCTAAGCCCGAGCTTCCTGCTGGGGTGTGCAGTAACGGGCTGTACCACATATCACCTTTATTTGTTTTCATAACACACTTCTTCAAATTGACTTGCTTTTGTCATTTAATTAGTCCCAAGCTATAATAATTGGCGTGATAATATTTTTTGTAATATTCATTAAAATAACTCCATAATTATGGCACTTAAAAAAAAGTTATATGAAAAGTTACCACCCACCCTGGCTTGGATCCTAGAGCAGAAAGAGACAACAGTTAAACGACTGGTGACATGCCCATAAAGTCTGGAGTTTAGTTCATAGGAATGTACCCACGTACGTTTCTTAGTCATGTCAAATGTCCCGTGGGCACATAAGATGCTATATGGCTGGGGTTGGTCACTGGGTGAAGGGATGTGGGAATTTCTGTGCTAACTGTGCCGGTTTTCTGTACATCTAAAATGATTCCAAAATAAAAGGTTTATTAAAAAGAGGAAAAAAAGTCCCTCCTAGCGTCAAATAAAGGAGGTAAAAAGTTAAAAACGAAACGAAAGTGCTCCTGGGGGTTGCATGCCAGCCTTTGGGAA